CCTTTTCACTAACCCCTTTTGTGCACCCCGACTCGCTTGCAGCTCCATCTATCCCCGTTTGTGTAATTCACGATTTACTTTCTCCAACGATTTGTTCATGTAACTTCTCTTTCTCTCTATTCCTATGCCCTCTCACGCTTCTCTTGCCTTTTCCAGCTCAATCCTCTGGGCGGGCACGCATTCCGTGTGTTTTACAAGTTCGTTTTCTTCATGAGCCGAGAGCAGGGGCAGAAGGGCGTAGGTGAGTTGTGGTTTCTGTAACGACGAGGCAAAACACATTACCGAACACCTCTCACTTTCCTCCACGCGTATCAAGTCTAGCTTGCAGATTCGCGTTGGGCAGAAATATTTCCCTTCTTGGATTTCGGTGCAATTGTGTGATTTTTTAGGCGCCTAACTCGATGTATAATAGTATGAAACCTTTGTGTCGTGCAGACGTGGCAACAGCTGTGGAGGCGTGGAGATTTGCCCTAGCGGGTGTCTTCCCCCTTGTGGATTCTTGGTGTGACTTTGTCCCGGTAGGCTCTCTCCTCCTCACCTGCCCCTTTACTTCACCTGCCCTTCACCTGCTCCTGCACCTGCCCCTTCATCTCATCTGCCCCTTCACCTGTCCTTTCACTTCACTCCCCCTCGCTCCGTTTTCCCTCAACTGAATCAGCAGTATTCTGTATCTGGCAGCAGGCGCTGGCTGGATTCCAGCTCTCCCGTCCGGCTCTCCCAACTCCGTCCTCTCCTCTCACCCTCTCGCCTCGTCTCGTTCCCCTCCGGCTCTCCTACCTCTTTGTTTTGAGTCGACTCAAAACTAAGTTCTCCCGTCCGGCTCTCCCAACTCCGTCCTCTCCTCTCACCCTCACCCTCTCGCCTCATCTCGTTCCCCTCCGGCTCTCCTATCTTCCCTCCCACAGCTGCACCAGCGGTATGCAGTCTCAGAGGACACGTGGCAGCAGGTGCTGGATTTCAGCTGCACGATTGGCGCTGACCTCAGCATGTATGACTCGGATGGTAAGCTGATGTCAGCATGTACAACTTGAGTGTGTGTGAGTGCATTCGCTTGCATGCACGGCCAACATTGCTCTTGAAAGTGGTATGTCTATCTACCCTCTATCCACCTTGCTGTGCCCAGCTTTTTCTTTCTTCTTGATTCTGCATCCACTTGGTGTTTCCTCGTTCCTTTGCCACCTCACAAACTGCATCTTCCCGCCGCCCCTCCCCTCTGCCTCTCTGTGTTCTCCCTTTCCCCTGTCATGGCAGGGGCATGGCCAGTGCTGATTGATGAGTTTGTGGAATGCTACTCCAGGTATGCTGGGGTGTGGTGGGGTATGGTGGGGTGTGGTGGGGTGTGGCGGGGTATGCTGGGGTATGCTGGGGTATGCTGGTTTATGCTGGGGTATGCTGGGGTATGCTGGTTTATGCTGGGGTATGCTGGGGCATGCTGGGGTACGCTGGGGTACGCTGGGGTATGCTGGGGTATGGTGGGAAATGGTGGGGTATGGGGAGGTATGGCCAGGTATAGCAAGGCACTGTGGGGACTAGTGAGGTATGATGCAGTATGGTGAGGTATGGACGGTATTTTCCATATCTTCACCATTGCATGCTGCTTTTGTGACTCCTCAGAATCACTTCCATCACTATTTTAATCTCATGCGCACTTATGTAGCACACAATTATCCATCATTCTCACCATTCTCTCTCACGCTCCCTCAAACAGGAGGGAGCACCTTGGCTTGTCTTGCGACGTGTGTGGATTTTCAGTCGACTCAATATGACTTCTGATTTTTTAGTCGACTCAAAAGTCAACTCACCATTCTCTCTTACGCGCCCCTGAACAGGAGGGAGCATCTGGGCTTGTCTTGCGACGTGTGTGGGCGTCGCCCTTCGGTGCTCCTGCGTTCTCCCTCGTCCCATGCATTCCGCCAGCGCGCCATGGACAGTGGAAGCGGCTTCAGGTATGCCTTATGCTCTATCTGTCTCAGGTTTCACCAGCAGCTAATGGGGTTTGCTGCCATTTGCTCCTCGGTGCTCCTGCATTCTCCCTCGTCCCATGCATTTCGCCTGCGCACCATGGACAGTGGAAGCGGCTTCAGGTATGCCTTATGCTCTGTGTGTCTCAGGTGCGTTGAGTAACTGTGTACGTACTAGGTGAGTTATGCTCTCCCTCGTCCCATGCATTCTGCCTGCACAACGTGGCGTGCACCAGCCACAGGTGAAGCCTTCATCAGGTGTTACTTGCAGCAGGTCAGATACTGCCTGCCCGCCCACCCTCTCACCCTCCCACCCTTCCACACTCCCACCTACCACCTCTTACCTCACGATTCTCACCTCTCAACTTCTCTGCACTCACTTGCTTCTTCTTTCTTCCCCTGCCCTCCTCCCCATCAGCTCATTCAACGAGGCCCGGTGGTTAACCACCAATGGCGGTGCCACCACAGCCAGCGCTATGCCCTGCTGCCCTTACGTGCTTCTTTCTTCTTCCCTTGCCCTCTTCTCCGTCAGCTCATTCAACGAGGCCTGGTGGTTAGCCACCAATGCAATTGGTATGTGGTGGTGAACTGTGTCAACAGCGGTGCCACCACTGTGCCTTCTTCGCTGCTCTCACACTCTTCTTTCTTCTCTCCTCCTCTACCCTCTTCCCCATCAGTTCTTTCAACGAGGCCCGGTGGTTAACCACCAACGGCGGTGCCAACACAGCCACCCCTAATTTCACCGATGCAGAAATGGCAGAGGATCCTTTATCCTCGTTACAAGCCTCCTCGTCTACACCATCCGCGTTGCTATCAGCGCTCTCAGTACAAGCAGGTTCACTATCAGCTACAGCGATCCCCGGAACAGCCCCAGTGGGTTTCAGCAGCAGTCAGCAGAATGGCAGTGCTATGGACAGCAGCAGAGGCATTTCTATCAGCGGTGGTAGTAGTATCAACCACAATAGCAACTACAGTGGCGGCAGCAACAGCATGCTGCCGTTTCAAGATGGAGCGAAAGATGGAGCGAATTTGAACCTCTTGTGTCCCGGCGCTAGCCCTTCATGCCCAATTGCAATTCCACTGCCCTCCACACACAGACCCGGCCTGATTTCCCCCACGGGTGTTGAGGCGTTTCAAAACCCCACGTACAGCCAAGGGCCGTTTTCCCCCACTAGTGTCGAGCCGTTTCAAAGCCCAACACACAGGACGGGACCGTTTTCCCCGAGTAGAGGGGGGACAGAGGGGGCAGGTGGAGCGGGCAGGATGGGAGCAGCGAGGAGGGGGTTAGGAACAGAGGTAGTGGATGGGATAGGGGCAGGCATGGGAGCAGTAGGTCGAGGCATTGCAGGGGCATGTGAGGCGGGAGGGTTAGGGATTTTAGGGCGAGGAGGGGGGAGTGAGAGGGTGAAGCGGTGTTGGCGGGATGTGAGGGAGGAGACGGAGCAGAGGGAGAGGATTGAGTTGATATCGCTTAAGATGGCTGGGCTGAGTCCGCCCAATGGAGACTGCAAGAGACAACGCGTGACTCAGTGGTGACGTGACTGGAGGAGTAGGGGGAGCAGGGAGTGAGAGGGTAAAGCGGTGTTGGCGGGATGTGAGGGAGGAGACGGAGCAGAGGGAGAGGATTGAGTCAATATCGTTTAAGATGGCTGGGCTGAGTCCGCCCAATGGAGACTGCAAGAGACAACGCGTGACTCAGTGGTGACGTGACTGGAGGAGTAGGGGGAGCAGGGAGTGAGAGGGTAAAGCGGTGTTGGCGGGATGTGAGGGAGGAGACGGAGCAGAGGGAGAGGATTGAGTCAATATCGCTTAAGATGGCTGGGCTGAGTCCGCCCAATGGAGGCTGCAAGAGACAACGGGTGACCCAGTGGTGACCCAGTGGTGACTCAGTGGTGACTCAGTGGTGACTCAGTGGTGACTCAGTGGTGACTCAGGGATGGCTGAGTGGTGACTCAGTGGTGACGGCGAATCCTTTCATCCTTCAACATTCGAAACGGCTGGGCTTAGTCCACCCAATGGGGACTGCAAGAGACAGCGCGTGACTCAATGGTGATTTGGTGGTGATTCTGGTGATCCAGTAGCGATAGTAGGGAAAAGTTGGGGGCAGCTGTGTGGGCGCAGCAGAGGGAGAGGATTGAATCAATATCGCTCAGGATGGCTGGGCTGAGTCCGCCCAATGGGGACTACAATAGACAGCGCGTGACTCGGTGGTGATTCAGTGGTGACTGCGAATCCCTTCATCCCTCAACATTCAAGGTGGCTGGACTCCCTCACAATAGGGACTCCGAGAGGCAACCTAGGTGACCCAGTGGTGTGAATCAGCGATTGTAAGGGGTGGTGGGGGTGAAGTGAGTGGGTGCAGCAGAGGGAGAGAGGGTTGAAGCGATATCCCTCAAGATGGCTGGTCTCAGTCCTCGCAATGCAGACTGCAAGAGACAACGGGTGCCTCTTGGTGATTCTGGTGGTTATGCTGATGTGACTGGACTGGAAGCAATCAATAGACTCTGCTGGCAGCAGGCATGGTGACGATGGTACTTTCCTTGTTCCATTGTCATACGGTACCGTAGTACAGGGCATGGAACAAGCAGTGATGCCGTTTAACTTGTTGGTGTACTCACACACAGCCAATGTTCATTTCAGTCCGTTCAATGATCACCTTGTTGCAGCAACAAGAACCTGAACTGCACAGAAGCATGACAATTTCCTGTGTTCTAAAGAATGAACCAGCAGGCTTGAGAGCTGTCGGCGTCACTATACTAGATGCCTTAGGAAGAAACATCATTACATGCTAGAAATTACCGACAACCAAGGCACATAGACGAGCACAGCAGTTGAGCATCGCTTCACCATGATGCCTGGTTGTGCTTTGCGTTACAAGCTGTGTTGGCATGGCTGGCAGCTGTGGCATCCTCAGGTGGGGTGCCTGGTGGATGGATTTCCACCTTCAGGGCACACCCGTTTTGAGATGAGTTGTCTCAGGGGTGCGTCGTGTCAGGAGGAGCTGTGGAATGCTTAATGACAGTAGAGTTGACTCAGAAGTTACTTAGCGTTGGCTGTGGCGCCATCCTCAGCTGGGGGGTCTGGTGGCTGGATTTCAATATCTGGGTACACCTGTCACACAGGGATGTATCGGGAAGCGCCAAGAGAGGAGTTAAGCCTTGAAAGGCAAAAAAAATGACAGCTCATTCAAACCTTGCTTCTCTCGCTACCCGTGCCCCATTCAGCTGCCAAATGGTTGTTGAGACAGTATAATCAACTTGAAAAGCTTGCCAGACCTCCGTGAACCTTTCCGTACCTCCTTGAACCTCTCCGTGCCTCCTTGAACCTTTCCGTACCTCCTTGAACCTCTCCGTGCCTTCTTGAACCTTTCTGTACCTCCGTGAACCTCTCCGTGCCTTCTTGAACCTTTCTGTACCTCCTTGAACCTCTCCGTGCCTCCTTGAACCTTTCCGTACCTCCTTGAACCTCTCCGTGCCTTCTTGAACCTTTCCGTACCTCCTTGAACCTCTACGTGCCTCCTTGAACCTTTCCGTACCTCCTTGAACCTCTCTGTGCCTTCTTGAACCTTTCCGTGCCTCCTTGAACCTCTCCGTGCCTCCTTGAACCTTTCCGTACCTCCTTGAACCTCTCCGTACCTCCTTGAATTTCTCCGTACCTCCTTGAACCTCTCCGTACCTCCTTGAACATCTCCGTACCTCCTTGAACCTCTCCGTACCTCCTTGAACCTCTTGCGCAGGTCAGCATCCACAAGGCGCGTGCCGTCCAGCTGATTGCCCAGCGAGATCCAGCTGAGGTGAGGTAGGGAGGGGAGTGTGCAGGGAGGGTGCAGGAGGGTGAATGGGGGATGTATGGGATGGACGCTGGGTCAGCGTCAGAGAGGGAGAGGAAGCATCCCCAGAGGAGGGAGCAGGTGAGCGTCCACAAGATGCGTGCCGCCCCAGCTGATTGCCCAGAGACATTGAAGGGAGGTTTTGAGAATTCTCAAAAACTCCCCTGCCGCCCAGCTGATTGCCCAGAGATATCCAGGTGCCTGGAGAAAGGGAGGGAGGGAGGGGAGTGTGCAGGGAGGGTGCAGGAGGGTGATTGGGGGGTGTATGGGATGGATCCAGTGGTTACTAACCATGGGACAGAAGGGTGAACAGAAGGGTGAATGAATGTGTGCATCCAGTGGTTACTAACCATGGGACTTACTCACTCTAAATGCGTCCCACCCATGCTGCTGTCATAACCATCAGAACCGGCCCATGCACACCCCACCCTGTGCATGTATGATGTGCACCCCGCCCACCCACCCCGGTTTCTCCAACCCACCCACTCACCCTGCATGTGTGTTGTGCATGCGCGCAAACAGCTCCAGCTTCCTTATGTGCACACACACAGCCTCATCACCCCACCCACACACCACCACCCACACACTACCACCCACACCCAACCCACCCACTCACCCCGCATGTGTGTTGTGCATGCGCGCAAACAGCTCCAGCTTCCGGGTCCGCGGACTGATGCGCTCCAGCATGGAATACATCTGATGGGGAGGGGGGAGGGAGGGGGGGAGGAAGGCAGGAGAAGGACAGATGAGGCGGGAAGGGAAGAGGGCCCCTACACACCGGGAACATTTGAGAATTCTCAAAAGTCACTCCAATATAGAGGGCCCCTACACACCGGGAACAGATTCCTTGTCTGTGGACTGATGCGCTCCAGCATGGAGTACATCTGATGTGTGAGGAGGGGGAGGGAGGGGGGGAAAAAGACACATGGGGCGGAAACACAAGTGGGCCTTTCGAGACGTCTCAAAAGGAGGGGGAGGGAGGGGAGGAAAAAGACACATCAGGCGGAAACACAAGTGGGCCTTTCACAATGGGCCGCAAACAGCTCCAGCTTTCTTGTCCGCGGACTGATGCGCTCCAGCATGGAGTACATCTGATGGGGAAGCGGAGAGAGGGAAAGGTGAGGTCAAAGAAGAGGGCCTTTTGCAGGGAGGGTGTTTTGAGACGTCTCAAAACAAGCGGAGAGAGGGAAAGGTGAGATCAAAGACGAGGGCCTTTTGCAGGGAGGGAAATTTGGCTCTTAACTTCCGCGGACTGATGCGCTCCAGCATGGAGTAATTCTGATGGGCAGAGAAGAAAAGGGGGGAGGGGAGAAGGGGGGAAAGAGGGGGTAAGCTTTCTCCTCACTTCATCCAGCTTTCTCCTCTCCCTCACCGCATCAAGCTTCTGCTTTCCTCACTCACCTGGTCCCAGCTGCTTCTCTCCTCTCACCTCATCGGGCTTTCTGCTGGTCTCTCGCTCTTCGGTGTCTATGTTGTCTCGATGCACGCCCAATGAAGGCTTGTAACACTGCTCTTTCTCACCTCATCGGCCTCCTACCATCTGCTCCCTCTCCCTCACCTCATCGGCCTCCTACCATCTGCTCCCTCTCCCTCACCTCATCGGCCTCCTACCATCTGCTCCCTCTCCCTCACCTCATCGGCCTCCTACCATCTGCTCCCTCTCCCTCACCTCATCGGCCTCCTACCATCTGCTCCCTCTCCCTCACCTCATCGGGCTTTCTGCTGGTCTCCTGCACTTACGCCCAATGTAGGCTTGTAGTGCCACCTCCTGCTCTCTCACCTCATCGGGCTTTCTACTCGTCTCTCTGACTTCAGCCACGATCACGTCGGTGTCGATGTTGTCCCCACGCAGTCCCCATGTATGTATGTACGCCCAATGAAGGCTTGTACCAACCACCTGTCCCCCACTTTTTGCGTCTCTCACCTCATCGGGCTTTCTACTCGTCTCGCGGACTTCAGCGACGATCACGTCGGTGTCAATGTTGCGGTTCACAAGGGGGGCGCCCTTGATGCCCACCAGGCAGTGCTCCTTGCTGTGGTTCAGCCAGTGCCCCGTGCGCCCCGTGCGGATGATGCGTTGGAGTTGATTCGTCTTCACCCATATGATCTCCTCCACTCGTCGGTACCCCCACAGCTCCAAACTGCAGACGGAATAGGGCGCAGGGGTTTGAAGAGATTGAGGGAAGGTTCAAAGCAAGGGGTTCAACCCACGCCCAGTGTTCCGTGCGCCTCGTGTGCCCTTGATGCCCACCAGACCAGGCAGTGCTCCTTGCTGTGGTTCAGCCAGTGCCCCGTGCGCCCCGTGCGAATGATGCGCTGCAGCTGATTCGTCTTCACCCAGATGATCTCTTCCACCCGCCGGTACCCCCACAGCTCCAGGCTGCATGCGGGAGTGACAGGAGGCAAGGGCATTCAGTCAGGAGTGAGAGAGGCATGGCACAGAAACAAAGCGTCAGCCTACAGCCAGTGCCCCGTGCGGATGATGCGCTGCAGCTGGTTCGTCTCCTCAACGCAACGGTACCCCCACAACTCCAGGCTGCATGTGGGAGTGACGGGAAGCAAGGGCAGCACACACAAAGGGAGCACACACGAAGGGGAGAAAGGAAAGGCACAAGGAGTGAGAGGGGAGAGGAATGGCATTGAGACAAGGGCCTTCAGGCACCAGGCAGTGCTCCTTGCTGTGGTTCAGCCAGTGCCCCGTGCGCCCCGTGCGAATGATGCGCTGCAGCTGATTCGTCTTCACCCAGATGATCTCTTCACCCAGATGATCTCTTCACCCAGATGATCTCTTCACCCAGATGATCTCTTCACCCAGATGATCTCTTCACCCAGATGATCTCTTCCACTCGTCGATACCCCCACAGCTCCAAACTGCGGGCAGGGACGTAAGATGCAAGTAGGCAGGAGTAGACATTTATACATATACGTATATATATATATACATATGTCATTAGATGCACATATACAAATAGATATCAGTTTAGATTCATGTACACATAAGCAAACGCATGAATCTGCATACATACTCATATACATATGCAAACATAGATTTGAATATGCATACACATGCACACACAGATATAAATACACACACATGTATAGACGCCTAAATATATATGCATACATATATTCAGCTTTTGAATTGGGTGAACCTATCACGTGATCCTGCTTCCGTTCCCACGGGATAACCTATCACGTTCCACTAAGACAAGTACAGGGAACATGATAGGTTCCCAAAAAGCTGGAATTTCCAGGTTGCGGGTAATGAGACGACTTTTGAGGCGCCTCAAAAGCTGGAATTTCCAGCTTTATTTGAGTTGCAGAACGTGCTCACCTGGTTGGCTGTCCCACTGCCTTCTGTTGCCACGCTCACCACCTACTATCATCACACTCACCACCTGCTATCGTCACACTCACCACCCACTATCACCACACTCACCACCCACTATCACCACACTCACCACCTAATATCGTCACACTCACCACCCACTATCACCACACTCACCACTCTCGCCCCAGCTCCATGGCACGCCCTGTCACCCAGAGGAATATGAGCCCATCCGTTTGCAAGCCCTGGGGGATGCATTGGGTTGGGGGGAGGGTTGAAACAGGGGAGAAGAGAAGGGGATGTAAGAATAAAGGATGGGAGAAAAGGGGTTGCACCTCAGAAATCACCCAGAAGCTTCGCAAGAAATCATTCTTTGTAAAGAGAATGTCGAAGATCGGCTTCGCAAGGAGTTCGCGGCGAATTTTAAGTCGACTTAAAAATCGACTCTTCGCAAGGAGTTCGCGGCGAAGCTGGACAAAGAGCTACCTGCGAAGCTTCAGAAGTTTGCTGCTCGCTGAGAACATGTCCCAAGGATGGGAGAAAAGGGGTTGCATCTCAGAAATCACCCAGAAGAAGATTAGGGCCGTCTTTTAGTATGGTATGGCATCCTTGCTGCAGAGCTCACTTCTAGCCATTCTCAAGGGCACACTGAGAGTCCTCATCTCATCATCAGCCATGGTGCCATGCCACAACAAAGCAGCTCCATGTGAATGTCCCACGGGGGGCGATGGGGTGATATGGTCAAAGAGAGGGTTGACTCACCACATACACACACCCACGAAATCACTCACTCATTCAATCACTCACTCACTCACTCACCGGCACATTGAGAGTCCTCATCTCATCATCATCGGCCATGGTGCCACGTGGCATTTGAGTCGACTCAAATGCCATATGGCAGCTCCATGTGAATGCTTTTATTTTAGGCGCCTCAAAAGTCGACTCAAATGCCATATGGCAGCTCCATGTGAATGTCCCAAGGAGGGGGTGATGGGGCGACAGGGAGCCGTGCTTGGTGATGGGCTGGGCAGAGAGCGGGGTTGACTCACCTCACCACATACACAGTCACACTCACTCACCGGGACATTGAGAGCTCTCCATGTGAATGTCCCACGGGGGGTCCGTCATGAATGAAGGGAACCGCAGAGGAGTGCAGGACAGGGACAAGAGAGCATGCGGAGAGCACTCGCCGGCACGTTAAGCGTTCTCTCATCTCATCATCCGCCATGGTGCCATATGGTAGCTCCCACGGGGGGTCCGCCATGAAGGGGTTAGATGGGCTTAAGGTGCCAATCACTCACTCACCGGGACATTCAGTGTTCTCATCTCATCATCAGCCATGGTGCCATATGGTAACTCCATGTGAATGTCCCACGGGGGATCTGCCATGATCACCCCAAACTGCCCCAGGATGTCCGTGCGGAAGTTGCGAATGTCACAGTTCACCCACTGCGCCTCCCCCAGCTCCACCTGCAACGCACATAGGCAGACAGAGAGGCTTTAAGAGCTCCGCTCATGGGGATGCCCCTCGCAGTTTTCCGGCCGAGGAGGCCTGTCGAACGGACGGTGAATAGTCGATGGAATGCACTGCCCGAACGAATTAATCTGCACCACAGGGGGCATGGCCGGCCCGTGCCCGTGCCCGTGCCCATGCCCATGCCCATGCCCATGCCCATGCCCATGCCCATGCCCATGCCCACATTCACACCCATATCCCCACTCACTCCCATAAATGAATCCATACCTGGGAGCAGTATTCCGGCCTTGGAGGCCGGTCGAAGGGTCTTGGAATGGTGGAGGGGATGTACTGCCCGAACGAGTTGATCTGCACCACAGGGGGCATGGCCGGCCCGTGCCCATGCATGCCAGGCGGCCCCATTGGCCCCCCATGGGGGCCGAATATGCCCATGGCTGCAGCAGCAGCCGCGGCGGGGGGTAGAGCCGCCCCTGGAGGGATCATGGCTCCGTAGGGTGCCCCATCTGGGACCGGGTCAAGCTCGTAGTGCACGTACTTGCACGTCTGGGGGGAGGGGGGGGTAACAAGGATCAAAGAAGGAGGGAGTTCAAGCAAGGAGGGATTGTGGCCGTACATGCATGCAGGCAGGGCCGCATGCGGCCCCTGGGGGGATCATGGTTCCGTAGGGTGCTTCGTCTGGGACTGGATCCAGCTCGTAATGCACGTACTTGCACGTGTGGGGGGAGGGGGGGAATTGGGGTTTGGGGAAGGAGGGAAAACTTCAGGCGGCGTCTCAGCAATTTCTTTGTGAAGTCGACTAAAAAAAAAAAAAAACTACCTTCATGTGCCAGCACACCATCAACAAAACAGCAGCAACTACCCAGATTCATGTCAGATACAATGGATCAAAAGAATCACATCACACATGCGATTCCTTTGATCAAAGGGGCTACATGAATTGGTTACCTTACTTCATGTGTCAACAGGTGTCACGGAGCTTAGTTACCTTCATGTGTCGACAAGTGTCCAGGAAGGAGCAATCTCCCAGGTTCATGTCGGTGTGAGGGGATATGATGCGGCGGAAATGCACCTGGAGAGAGATAGAGGAAGCAACGGAGGGAAGGAAAGGAGAGGGGGCGATGACTGGTAGTTGCACCCGCATTTCAGCATTTCATCAGGTTCATGTTTGTGTGCGCTGCAGGTACATTATCCAGTCATATCTCAGAGAGCTGCAGTTGTGTAGTAGGCTCAAGCAAGAGAACAACAGCGGAAAAATCCGCTGTGTGTAAAACCAAGTGCTCAAAGCAGTCTCAGAATCCAAACTCTTAGCAGTAGAGTAAGACAAGGACAAACATGTTCAAACATGTGTTTCGGCTGAAAGAAAGAGACCCTATCAACTGCAGCACTCTGAGAAATTACTGAACATCGCATTTCATCAGGTTCATGTTCGTGTGCGGTGCAGTGCAGGCAAAACATCGCAGTTTTGGCAGGTTCAAATCAGTGCGCATGCGTGCAGCAATATGACACGGCAAATTGGAGAAGAACAGAAGAGGGAAGGAAGAGGCACAAGAGCGGGGAGGTGCATACAGGGACACACGATTCGTCTCCTAACTGTATGCTCATACTGGTATAGTTTAAAAGGTAGAAGGTTTCTTTTGCCAACCACCACAATGCCACCCACCTTGTCGCAAGCAGTGTATGAGTTGCGGTGGCGGCGGCAGTCATCCTTTGTGAGCCGGTTGCAATACTCCCGCACCATGGACCCGCCCTTGGTCTTGAACTGGAGGGGGGCACACAGCATATTCAGGTTTATGGAAGGGTTGAAGGTGCACAATTCGTTCAAAAAAAAAAAAAAAAAAAAAAAAAACAACAACAACAACAACAAAGAGGAAACGATATATTTGAAAATGCTTTGCAGATTCACAGTGCCATCAAAACCTGAACCCGTATTCTTTCCTCTCAAATTTCTCACACAAGTACACACAACCATGGATTCCAAACCTGCGAACCAGACCAGGCATCTCTCCACTCCAGGTTCAATAACCAAAACAGACTTTTGAGGCGCCTCAAAAGATCTCTCCACTCCAGGATCAATAACAAAAACAGACTTTTGAGGCGCCTCAAAAGATCTCTCCACTCCAGGATCAACTTTTGAGGCGCCTCAAAAGATCTCTCCACTCCAGGATCAACTTTTGAGGCGCCTCAAAAGATCTCTCCACTCCAGGATCAACTTTTGAGGCGCCTCAAAAGATCTCTCCACTCCAGGATCAACTTTTGAGGCGCCTCAAAAGATCTCTCCACTCCAGGATCAACTTTTGAGGCGCCTCAAAAGATCTCTCCACTCCAGGATAATAACCAAAACAGCAAGCAACAACTGCATACTTGGCAGTGGGCTCCAGTGGGCTTCTGCAGCAGCTCCAGCTGAGTTAATTGAACTTGTGAGAATTCTCCAAAGTTCAAAGCAGCAACAACTGCATGCTTGCCAGTGGGCCTCTGCAGCAGCTCCAGCTTAGAATGACCATAATCCTAAAACCCCCAAGGCCTCCCCATACATGTACCCGTGCAGGACATGCCAGTAACGGACACGTGGGCTGCGGAGGCCTTACTTCCATCACTCTTGCTGCATCTCTTTGAACAGTGGGTACTTCCAAGAAAATACCCCCAGCCTCCTCCTATACATACCCGTGCAGCAACGGCTGTCTCTTTAGCAGTGGGTTTCTGCAGCAGCTCTAATAGCTCCTCGCCCCGCTTAGACTGCTGCATCTCTTTAAACGACTTCTTCGATAAAATCTCTTCCACCCGCATCTCCTCTTCCTCCCCCTCCTCCTCGTTCTCCTCCCCATCTCCCTCCCTGCCTTTGCTCCTCCCCTCCCCTTTTTTCTCCCCCTTCCCCCCCTCCTTCTCCCCTTCCCCTCCGGTTTCCCCCCCACCGCCTCTACCGTCCCCCGCTTCTGCTGCCATCCCCCTCCCCCATCTCCCCCCCGCCTCCTGCCCCCCTCCGCCTGGCCCTCCCCCGCCACCTCTTCCCCCTCCGCCCATTCCCAAAGAGTGGGGAGGGGGGAGACTTGGGTGGGGGCGGAAGGGAGGGGGAAGGGCTTGCATTCTATGATCCATACCCATACCCATGCCCATGCCCATTCCCATGCCCATCCCCATCCCCATCCCCATCCCCATACCCATGCCCATGCCCATACCCATGTTTTCGTTATAAGGCATCATTCCCCCCCTTCCCCCTCCTGGCCCAAAACCTCCGCCCATTCCCCCTTGCCCATAGGGGGGCCTTCCCCCCATTCCCCCCATCCCCGGCCCTCCCCCCCCATGCATGCCCATTGGCCCTGGTCCACCCCCAGGGGGGAAATTCCCCCCCATACCCCCTCCTGGCCCACCCCCGCCAGGAAAATACCCCCTGCCTCCCCCAGGGTAATTCACCCCACCCATTGGCCCTGCGGGTTCAAACCCATGCGGAGCAATACCAGGAGGAAACTGCGCGGATCCTTCCCTATCACCCATGTCCCTACCCTCCCTGCCCCCGTCCCCCCCCATTCTTCCCCCATCTCCCCCCATCCCCCCTCTTCCAACCCCAAACCTCCTATTCTCCCGCCCAAAGCCGCCTCTTCCCCTCCTACCTAACAACAACCCCACCTCCTCCTCCTCCTCCCTCTCCTGCTGCTTCCGGGAAGCTTCTGCAGACGGAATCGTCGCCCCAGGAAACATCCGCGAAAGCGCCAGCCTGTCAAACCCTAAAACCATCAACCTAGCCACTCCAGCCACAGCAAATTCTTCTATCTCCACTAATGGCGCTCCGCTCACGCTCCCCCCTGCTCCGCCCTTCCAGCTCCGCTTTCCCCCCGCCTTCCCCGCTCCGCCTCCCGCTTCCGCGCCCCCCCCGACAGTCATCCCCGCAAGAACCCTAAGGGCCGTTTCTAGCGCGCCTATTGGCCCGTCCTCCCCTCCGACCTCTAAAATCGAGGCTTGGTCTATACTTTCGGGGTTTAAATCCTTCTTTAATCTCCTATTTATCGCGCTAGAGTCCAAAGGCACCGCCGTGCCGGCCGCCAGCAGGACGGCAGCCACGAGCCGCTCCACGCGCTCGAGTGACGTCAGCGGCCGGCGCGACTCGTCCACTATGTCTTCCTCTCGCGGGAACGTGTCAATTGGCGGAGGCGTGGGGGTTTGCTGACCCGCGTAAAGGTTCGGACTTTCAGTTCGAGAGGGAATTGCGAATCCTCCTCCCGCTGCTGCTGCTCCTCCTCCTCTTGCTACTATGCCACTAAGCTTTCCCGCGCCGCCGCGGCCCGCTTTCTCGTCTTCTAAACCTTCTAGAATGTTCTGAAGGGAGCCTTTTTTCCGCGGCCGTTTCGTTAACGGCCCGCTACCGCCGCCGCCGCTAACGCCAGCTGTCGCCTCGGTGGCTCCCGCAGCGCCCGAGCTGACGTTCGAGTCGCCTCCGTCGTCGCGACCTTCGCTGCCTGACACGTCAGATCTTCCTCCGCCTCCGCCGGCGCCGCCGGCATTCGCGCTGTTAGTTAACCCCGTCGCCGCCAGCGCCGTGTTTGTCGCAGCGACAGGCGGAACATCGTCGACCGAAGGCGAGCGGCGCGCGGCGGAAATTCCGCCGCCTCCGCCGGTGTTAGGAGCTGACGTCAGCAGGTCGTTTACGAGCGACGCGGTGGCTTTTTTTCGACTTTCTAGCCGCTCCTTAAGGCGTGACCGCTGCTGACGCAGCTGAGCTATCTCCGCTGCCTCCTCGTCATCCATGGCTGCAAATTTCTGGGAAACGGAAACCTGCACTGTGAAATGGCTACCCGTTAGTGACTACAAAATGACTCGAAGGACGAAATTATGGGACTTTTAGGGTTGCTTTCTGTGTGAGGCAGCAGAGCAGAACCGGGGGAGGGAGCGTCACTGACACGGTTGTAAGATACTGAGCAGACTTGATACGAGCTACCTCACCATGTTTTACAATATTGTACCCTATGAACAGGTCTTATAAACGTCAGAACAAGCCCTTCATATATATCTTCCAACATTTCCAAGCAAACCTTACTCTGGTGACTCTTCTCTAGCAACAGGGAGCATGGATAAAAACATTGAGGGCAAACCAATATCGTCTTCTAATCGCCCCGTTTCTTGATCATTCTCCTCTTCGTTCTCTCCTGCCTTCTCCTGCCCCTCACCACTAACAGACCCAGGCAACTCATCCATGCCCGTCTTTTCATTCCCTGTGCCATCACTAGTGCTGGGCTTTTCCGCATCACCATCACCACCACCCGCCTTGTAACCACCAGCACCATCATCAACTTCCTCATTTTCCTCGTCATCACCATCATTGCCCAATATTTGCTGGAGATGCTGAATGCGGTTTCCCAAGCAGTCTAGTTTCTCAGCACTGAGCTCGGCGAGCAAGCGCTCCATATAGTCACTGTTCTCATAGGAGCGGTATTCACACATTATGCGGATCTCATTGCGCATAATCACTTGAACATCCTGCAAGAACCATATTTACACACAAGGAGGCACAAATCAGAAAGGTACCAACAAGCTGGAAAAAAGGAGCTGTAGATTTTTAAGTGTCACATGCTGGTTGGAACATCATGTGGAACAATTTATATTAGCTCACCCGCATGGCCAGCATGAAATCTTGGCACATCCCAGCCACCATTTCTGGTTTCCTGTTTGCCCCTCCCGGTCCCCCCCCTGCAGCAATGCTTCCATGAACGTTCCCTGGAAGGTGCGGATGCGAAGGCCCACCTCCCCCTCCACTTCCGCCTCCTACTGGTGCGGACGGTCCTGATTGGCCGAGCAGCTGCATGACGTTGCCTGCGCATTTGACAGCGTCGATTATTCGCTGCGGTAATTCCGGAATGGATGAAGATTCGGTTAGGGTATAAGTGTGAACCATACAGAAAGGGATCAGGGTGACGTGACAGCACGGATTCTGTTGGTTGTACATTCATGGTGTTGATGAGTTTAAGAAATGGTAGGTGAGATATGGGTTACGTGGAAGAAGTGGGGGGACATAAGGCAACATCGGGAGACATGGGGAGTCACGAAGAGACACGGCGGAGATGGAGTTATGGGGGAACATGGGGACATGGAGAGACATGGAGAGACATGGAGAGACGTCAGAGCATCGGCAAGGTGCACGCTAAGAGTCAACGTGAGTAACTGATTTCTTCTTTTTCAGACGTCCGTCAAACCGTGTAATTCACGCACTGTAGATTTTCTTGATGATTCTCACGTCCTGTTCTACGCGCAACGATGTTCCCTGATTCTTCCTCATTCTCTCGTCATACCTGCTCCACTCGCTGTAGATTCTCCATGGACGACAGGCTCGGCGCGGCTTCAGGCTCCGAGGGACGCTTCGAAGCCATGACGCAGCTCTCGTCGAAGGACAGACACGTGCAGCCGGGATCTGGCAGAAGGCCGAATACCGTCAGCAATGTCGCGAAACGCCGTTTCCAGTGTTCATCAAATTCATCAGGAATCTCACGAAACGTCGTCGGGATGGCCGTTTAAGGCAATTGGGGTTCAAGTAAGTGAGAGTCTCTGGCGGGCTGATTTTGGCGAGGAACTCAGGTGAGTTTAGGGTGCGGCGTCCTAAGATTCTCACAGCTGTTGCGGATTACCTAAAACGGACCTGCAAGCAGCGCATTGAGAGACACGCGTACAAAGCAAATGTGCGGCTTGGCTTGAGCGCGACCTTTGAAGATGATTGCAAGCAGCAGCAGCAGCCATTCAGAACGCGACCTGCAGCCTGTGATGAGGGAAGCTGGGCATTTGGGACAGAACCTAAACAGGAGCTCAGTGTTGCCTCGAGTAGTTCCCGTTGTCGAGTACTCGATTACTACTCGAAAAATATTTGTAGATTACAGCTGTATTGAAACGGTTGATATTACTTACAATATGTGTGTACATGAAAATTATGCACATTCGCAATTGCAGTTTCAGACCACAAGGTGATAACATTTATATTCATTCAGCATTATTAGATAAACGAGTATAGAACCTATCATGGGGCAGATCCCAACTCACATACTAGCATGAACAACGAGCTGCTTCTACCCAAGCCATGCTAGAAGCCGTTCCTCATGTGCAATGGAGGGACTCCACTAATGCTAGCCCTAGAATTATTGTTGCCATAGGATCCCGCCAGCAACAGCCGCGTAGCCATTAGATCCTCTGCGCAAGTTGAGAGGCGGCCTCCCTTGGCAGTCGCCGTCGTATCTTCCCTTATTTTCCACTTGAGTATACGTCCCTGAACCCCGCTTTGGCGAACTGGAGCTGCAGGCGTCGCAGCAAAATCGCCAACATTACCAGCCTCCCAAGATGGGTGGTTGCTGGAAGTGATGTGTGAGCGGAGGGTGGTTTCTGAGTGCACCCTGGGCAGGTCACCGTTGCTGCTTGAGGCGGTACTTGACGACCACGCCGCGAAGTCCTGGTAACGCGGACTCAGCAGCTCGCTAGTGGCTCCACGTGGCGAAAGCTGTAGAGGGGATGGCGAGATGGACGAAGAGGACGAGAATGATGGGGTGCTCGCACCGATAACACTGGGTACCCTGGGAGTTGCTGGGGATTTCGGGCTTATCGCGTCGTAACGATACGTCTGCTGCTCGTGCTTGCATCGCTGCCTCGGCTGTCGCTGCTGACGGTGCGGCGTTGGCGCTTCTGAGATCCCTCGAGTGGACGTATCGATTGCCAGCGACGCGCGGCGGGACACGGTCGACGATCTTACGAAATTCAGCGAACCAGCGAAGTCACGGAAATTGTGGCTTTGAGGGTGCGATTGCGACGCCTGGCGGAGATCCTGCGAAGGGTGTTCGGGGCTGGGGGTATCGCCGCGAATCGACGGCGCACTGGCGTAAGACCTTGTGCGCGGGAACCCGCTAAACGACCCATCGTCGGCGTTCCCAAGGTCGGAGCTTCCGTTTGAGTTGGTAACCCGATGGAGGTAGTAACTGCTGCCTGATCGCAGGAGCTTCTCTGCAGGGAGGACTTCGCGGTTCGAGGTGAACGAGCCGACAGCGAAGCCCGGGTGGTCCTTCATTATGTCAGAAACGCGAGTCCTTTCGGTTATTAACTTCACGCCACCGTCCGGGAGGAGGAGGAGCGCCGCTTGCGTCATAATTTCAGACTGAGCACGTCAGGCGCTCGTAAACCAAGTAGTTTCCTTGACTCCCTCGAGTCCGATAGACCAAGGTAGACAGCTCGTCTCGGACAGCTGACAACGAAGGGAACAGCACTCAACTTTTCTGAAAAAAGCTTGACGATGCTTGATAGTCACAGCTGTATGCAATCTATCGGAACTAGGCGGATATATGTACAGCTCGATGGACAGCTGTAAGGAAGCTTGCTGGAATTCACCAGAGAAAAGCAAACAGCTCGTTGTCTCGCTATTCCGTGTGGTCCAGCCGACAGGCGATCACAGGGAAAACCGCCGACCAGAGATGCTACAGTAATTCTGGATTCTGGAGTCCAGAATTCCATAGTTTTTTGTCGAAAACGAGTCACCGCCGGACACGCTTCCCCAAAAAAGCGCAAGAACGAGCCACGTCGTTTCGATGCTCGTCACGCCACTTCGAATGCACTTTTCGAGCTGTCGCGCACGCAACCGCTCAAAAGACTGCTGGCGGTGTTACGAGCGAGGAACTGGCGGTTACACGTAGACGAGTGCAGACGAAAGGCCCGCGTGTCTCGGAGATGGCGGTGCCGAAGCGTGCCGCGTCTGCGGGGCTCCCAAGGTCGGTATTCTCGAATCTCGACAGGTGCAGGTTTCTAGCGCGTCATCCATACACGAACCAGAAGACAGGGGAGGAGACATGTGCCTGGCGTTTGCGAATGCAGTGTGCATCTGGCGTTTGCGAAAGAGCCATTAGCTGGTGCGAAAATTCATCTTGCTGAAAAGCAGCGACGTTACCAGCAAAAAGGCAGCGACGCTTTGCTTGACGTGGGAGCCGAGCAGCCACAAAAAGCAGAACTGGTGCAATTGTATTAGGATTCGACACATAAGCAGCCCCGATGGGAGTACAAATTGAAAACGGTTACACAGGTATAGTTGTGCATCATAAACCAATAAATCAAATTGTATGTATCATGTGTCACTTTCAGCCGTTCAACTAGTTGACCAGCTCCACGTGCGTAAGCACCTCTTCGTCTCTGACTTGAAGTACGGTTTGGTAAATAATCTGTGAAAGCACAAAATGCAGCATAAAGAAACAAAGGCTCCCAGTGTTGGTGTAATTTGGGCATGGGAAAACGGCCTACTTTTAGTAGGAATGAATATGTGAGGTTGCTCGGATCTAATAATCATTACCCATACACATCCAACACATTCCCCATATAACCACATACGCGTGCACCAAACCCCTCTCTTCCCCTTCCCCCATGTACTCTCCCTCATCCCCCCCCCCCCCCCCCCTCTCCCCTTCCTCCCCCCCTCTGTACCCCCCGCCCCTCACCCTCCCATCCCCTCTTCCTCTCCTTCACCCCCACGCCACATGTAAACGTGCAACCACCCTCTCTCTTTACCAGTGTGCAAGACACCTCAGCCACTCTCCAGCAAGACACCTCAGTAACGCCCGCAAGATGCGGAGCGTGCTTCAGAAGGGGTACACACCTACACCCACCCACACTCCTCGCCCTTTCATGCACGCACCTCTGCCATTCTCCAGCAAGACGCCTCAGTCGCGCCTGCAATATGCTGAGCGTGCTTCTCAGAGGGGGAATGCCATTCCCCCATGCACGCGCTTCCCCTCCCCCATGCACGCGCTTCCCCTCCCCCATGCACGCGCTTCCCCTCCCCATGCACGCACTTCCTGCCCCCCATGCATGCACTTCCTGCCCCCCATGAATGCACTTCCTGCCCCCCATGTAATGAGTCTGTTTTTGAGTCGACTCAAAAACAGACTCATTACACGCTGCCTTTGAGTCGAATCCAAAAACAGACTCCCCCCATGCACATAATTCCTGCCCCCCATGCAACGCACCTCTGCCATTCGTCGGTACGACACCTCGGTGACGCCCGCAATATGCGGTGTGACTATAACGCCAGGGTGCTTCAAAAGGGGCTCTGAGGGGTCGATGGGTTCTTGCCATGCCACGTCAATCCCAAGGCCAGCTAGTGAAGCAGATTCGAGCGCTTGGTTAATGGCGGGGTAGTGCAGGAGCCCCCCTCTTGCCACGTTGATGAGAATGGCCGACTGGAGTCAGAGGGAAGAATTGAGGGGAGGGAGGGGGGTTAGTGGGGGGTTCATAGAGGAAAGAGGGAGACGTTAGAGGAAAGAGGGAGATGGTGAAGGGGGCAAATAAAGGAAGGGGTGAGGTTTTGAAGGAATTGGCTCTGAGGGGCCATGCCACAACGATCCCAAGGCCAGCTAGTGAAGCAGATTCGAGCGCTTGGTTAATGGCGGGGTAGTGCAGGAGCCCCCCTCTTGCCACGTTGATGAGAATGG